CCAAAAAATCCATGGATCTGGGTGCTCCAAATCCTGGGAATCTGGAGGGGGATCCAGAGGGATGGGAGAGAGGATTATCCCAAAAATCCAGGAATCTGGGTTATCCCAAATCCCGGGAATCTGGGTCATCCCAAATCCCGGGAATCTGGAGGGGGATCCAGAGGAATGGGAGTCAGGATCATCCCAAAAATCCGGGAATTGGGTCATCCCAAATCCCAGGAATCTGGAGGGGGATCCTGAGGGATGGGAGAGAGGATCATCCCAAAAAATCCATGGATCTGGGTGCTCCAAATCCTGGGAATCTGGAGGGGGATCCAGAGGGATGGGAGTCAGGATCATCCCAAATCCCGGGAATCTGGAGGGGGATCCAGAGGGATGGGAGAGAGGATCATCCCAAATCCCGGGAATCTGGGTCATCCCAAATCCCAGGAATCTGGAGGGGGATCCAGAGGGATGGGAGTCAGGATCATCCCAAATCCATGAGATCCAGATCCTCCCAAATCCTGGGAATGGGAATAATCCCAGATCCCAGGAATCCGCTGAGAACGTCGGCTCTGGAATTCTGGGAGGAAGGAAAAACCGCTGGGGGATGGGTGGGGATCCCAAATTTCCGGGATCTGGGAAGAGGGAGGGGAAGGGAAGAGAAGGGAAAAAGTGGGAAGAGGGAAAAGTGGGAAAAGTGGGAAGAGGGAAGGACAGGAATGAGGGAAGAGCAGGAATTTGTTCCCAATAAACCAGTGACGTCATCTTCATTTCCCTCCCCTTTTCCCACCTTTTTTCCATGGAATCCCTTTCCCATCCGGCCCGGCTGAGCCTGGAATGGGAAGAGCAGGAAAAGGGAAGAACAGAAATGAGGGAAGATCAGAAATTAGGGAAGGACAGAAACGAGGGATGAACAGGAATTTTTTCCCACTGTTGACATCACTTCCACTTCCCTCCCGTTTTCCCACCTTTTTTCCATGGAATTCCTTTCCCATCCAACCTGGCTGAGCCCGGAATGGGAAGAGCAGGAAAAGGGAAGAGGGAAAAGCAGGAAAAGGGGAAAATCAGGAAAAGGGAAGATCAGGAATTAGGGAAGGACAAAAACGAGGGAAGATCAGGAATTGGGGAAGGACAGGAATGAGGGAAGAGCAGGAATTTTCTCCCACTGTTGACATCACCTCCCCTCCCGTTTTCCCACCTTTTTTCCATGGAATCCCTTTCCCATCCAGCCCGGCTGAGCCCGGAATGGGAAGAGCAGGAAAAGGGAAGATCAGGAAAAGCAGGAAAAGGGAAGATCAGGAATTGGGGAAGGACAGGAATGAGTGAAGGACAGAAATTAGGGAAGAGCAGGAATTTTCTCCCACTGAAACCCACTGACATCACTTCCACTTCCCTCCCCTTTTCCCACCTTTTTTCCATGGAATCCCTTTCCCATCCAACCTGGCTGAACCTGGAATGGGAAGAGCAGGAAAAGGGAAGATCAGGAAAAGCAGGAAAAGGGAAGAGCAGGAAAAGGGAAGATCAGGAATTGGGGAAGGACAGGAATGAGGGAAGAGCAGGAATTTTCTCCCACTGTTGACATCACCTCCCCTTCCCTCCCCTTTTCCCACCTTTTTTCCATGGAATCCCTTTCCCATCCGGCCTGGCTGAGCCCGGAATGGGAAGAGCAGGAAAAGGGAAGAGGGAAAAGCAGGAAAAGGGGAAGATAAGAAAAGGGAAGATCAGGAATTAGGGAAGGACAGGAATGAGGGGAGAGCAGGAATTTTCTGTCACTATTGATATCACCTCCCCTTCCCTCCCGTTTTCCCACCTTTTTTCCATGGAATCCCTTTCCCAGCCGGCCCGGCTGGCTCCGGAGCGGGAATTCATCAAATCCCTGATGGCCATCGGGAAGCGCCTGGCCACGCTCCCCACCAAGGAGCAGAAGACCCAGCGCCTCATCTCGGAGCTGTCCCTGCTCAACCACAAACTGCCGGCGCGCGCCTGGCTGCCCACGGCCGCCTTCCAGCACCACGTGGTCAGGGTGCCGCACTCCCAGGCCGTGGTGCTCAACTCCAAGGATAAGGTACGGGAAATGGGATTTGGGAATGAGATTTGGGGTTTGGGAATGGTGGGAATGGTGGGAACGGGATTTGGGATGGGATTTGGGGTTTGGGAATGGTGGGAATGGGATTTGGGATGGGATTTGGGGTTTGGGAATGGTGGGAACGGGATTTGGGACCCGTGGTCAGGGTGCCGCACTCCCAGGCCATGGTGCTCAACTCCAAGGATAAGGTACGGGAAATGGGATTTGGGAATGGGATTTGGGATGGGATTTGGGATTTGGGATGGGATTTGGGATTTGGGAACGGTGGCGGTGCCGCCTTCCAGCACCACGTGGTCAGGGTGCCGCACTCCCAGGCCGTGGTGCTCAACTCCAAGGATAAGGTAGAGAAAAACGGGATTTGGGAATGAGATTTGGGGTTTGGGAATGGTGGGAATGGGATTCGGGATGGGATTTGGGGTTTGGGAATGGTGGGAATGGGATTTGGGATGGGATTTGGGGTTTGAGAATGGTGGGAATGGGATTTGGGAATGGTGGGAATGGGATTTGGGACACGTGGTCAGGGTGCCGCACTCCCAGGCCGTGGTGCTCAACTCCAAGGATAAGGTACGGAAAAACGGGATTTGGGAATGGGAAAACGGGATTTGGGATTTGGGAACGGTGGGAACAGGATTCGGGATGGGATTTGGGATTTGGGAATGGTGGGAAAGACTTGGAAGTGTCAACTCCAGGACTGGGAATGTTGGGTCAGCTGGAATTGGACACAAACCCCTGAGAACCTCCAACTTCCACCCCCCTCTGGAATCTCCCCCTTTTCCTCCCTGTCCAAACCCACGGATCCAACAACCCCGGGAATATCCGGGAATATCCGGGAATATCCGGCATTCCCAAATCCCCGCTTTTCCCAGGCTCCCTATTTAATCTACGTGGAAGTCCTGGAATGCGACAACTTCGACACGGCCAGCGTCCCGGCGCGGATCCCGGAGAACCGCATCCGGAGCACGCGCTCGGCCGAGAACCTTCCGGAATGCGGGATGGGCCCGGAGCAGAGGGCCGGGAGCTTCAGCACCGTCCCCAACTACGACAACGACGACGAGGCCTGGTCCGTGGATGACATCGTGGAGCTGCAGGTGGAGGTGGGAATGATGGGAATGGGCTTTTCCAGAAGGTTCTGGGCGTTCTGGTGGCTCCATGGATGATGGGAATGGGCTTTTCCAGAAGGTTCTGGGCGTTCTGGTGGCTCCATGAATGATGGGAATGGGCTTTTCCAGAAGGTTCTGGACAGTGTGGTGGCAGCAGGATGGTGGGAATGGGATTTTCCAGAAGGTTCTGGGTCACCAGGATGGTGGGAATGGTGGGAATGGGCTTTTCCAGAAGGTTCTGGGTGTTCTGGTGGCCTCATGAATGATGGGAATGGGATTTTCCAGAAGGTTCTGGACACTGTGGTGGCACCAGGATGGTGGGAATGATGGGAATGGGATTTTCCAGAAGGTTCTGGGTGTTCTGGTGGCCTCATGAATGGTGGGAATGGGCTTTTCCAGAAGGTTCTGGTCACCATGGAAGTGGGAATGTTGGGAATGGGATTTTAATGGGATTTGATGGGATTTTAATGGAATTTGATGGGACTTTAATGGGATTTTAATGGGATTTGATGGGATTTTTATGGGATTTCACAGGATTTTATGGGATTTGATGGCATTTTAATGGAATTTGATGGGATTTTATGGGATTTGATGGAATTTAGTGGGCTTTGATGGGATTTGATGGGATTTTAATGGATTTGATGGGGATTTTATGGGATTTGATGGGATTTTTACAGGATTTGATGGGATTTGATGGGATTTTATGGGATTTCACAGGATTTGATGGGATTTGATGGGATTTTATGGGATTTGATGGGATTTTTACAGGATTTCACAGGATTTGATGGGATTTGATGGGATTTTATGGGATTTCACAGGATTTTATGGGATTTGATGGGATTTTAATGGAATTTGATGGGATTTTATAGGATTTGATGGGATTTTATGGGATTTGATGGAATTTAGTGGGATTTGATGGGATTTGATGGGATTTTAATGGATTTGATGGGGATTTTATGGGATTTGATGGGATTTTTACAGGATTTCACAGGATTTGATGGGATTTTTATGGGATTTCACAGGATTTTTATGGGATTTGATGGCATTTTATGGGATTTGATGGGATTTTAATGGAATTTGATGGGATTTTATAGGATTTGATGGGATTTTAATGGGATTTTATGGGATTTGATGGAATTTGATGGGATTTTGATGGGATTTTGTGGGGTTTGATGGGATTTTAATGGGATTTAATGGGATTTTATGGGATTTGATGGAATTTGATGGGATTTTGATGGGATTTTGTGGGGTTTTCCCGGGATTCCCGCAGCTCCCGGAGATGCACACCAACAGCTGCGACAACATCTCCCAGTTTTCCGTGGATTCCATCACCAGCCAGGAGAGCCGGGAGCCCGTCTTCATCGCCGCCGGAGACATCCGGTGAGCCGGGGGAAAATCCCGGGATTCTGGCATTCCCCAGAGGGAAAAAATCCGGAATTTTCCCTCAAAAAAAAAAAAAAAATCCGCAAAATTCTGGAATTTCCCAGAGGGGAAAAATCCAGGAGTTTTCTGTCGTAAATATTCCCTGGAATTCCGGGAATTTTCCCGTGTAAAATCCTGGAATTCTGGCATTACCCAGAGCAAAAATCCAGGAATTTTCCCTCCAAAAAAATCCCTTGGAATTCTGACGTTGCTCTGGGGATTTTCCCTCATTAAAAATCCCCCGAATTCCGACGTTTTTTCCGGGAATTTTCCTTCATAAAAAACCTGGGAATTCTGACATTGCTCTGGGAATTTCCCTTCATTAAAAATCCCTGGAATTCCGACGTTTTTCTGGGAATTTTCCTTCATAAAAACCCCGGAATTCCAACGTTTCTCTGGGAATTTTCTCCCATTAAAACCCCAGAATTCCAACGTTTCTCTGGGAATTTTCCTTCATAAAAACCCCTGGAATTCCGCCGTTTCTCCGGGAATTTCTCCTCATTAAAAATCCCTGGAATTCCGCCTTTTTCCGGGAATTTCCCCCCATTAAAAATAGCGTAATTCCGACGTTTTTTCCGGGAATTTCCCCCCATTAAAAATCCCGGAATTCCACCGTTTCTCCGGGAATTTCCCCCCATAAAACCCCCGGAATTCCGCCGTTTTTCCGGAAATTTCCCCCCATAAAAAATCCCGGAATTCCGCCGTTTTTCCGGGAATTTCCCCTGAGGGTTGGGAATTGTCCCGGCAGGCGGCGGCTGTCGGAGCAGCTGGCCCACACGCCCACCTCATTCCGGAGGGATCCCGAGGATCCGTCGGCCGTGGCCCTCAAGGAGCCCTGGCAGGAGAAAGTCAGGTGGGGAAAATTCCCGGGAATTCCACGGGAATTCCGTGGGGAAAAAAAAACCCGGGAATCGACGGCGGCCCCGCCCCCATCCAGGGGTTTGCCCAAATTCCCGGGATTTTCCGGGCGGATCCGAAGTCGGAAGGGTTGGGTTTGTCCCGGGATAAAACCTGGGGGAGAAAGCGGGAGAATTCCCGGGATGGAGGAATTTGGGGAGGTCTCGTCCGTGTTCCTGGTGGGATTTTAATGGGATTTTAATGGGATTTTAATGGGATTTTAATGGGATTTTATGGGATTTTAATGGGATTTTAATGGGATTTGATTGGGATTTTAATGGGATTTTGATGGGATTTTAATGGGATTTTAATGGGATTTGATTGGGATTTGAATGGGATTTTATGGAATTTTAATGGGATTTTAATGGGATTTTAATGGGATTTGAATGGGATTTGATTGGGATTTTAATGGGAGTTTAATGGGATTTGATGGGGATTTGATTGGGATTTTGATGGGATTTTGATGGGATTTGATTGGGATTTGATTGGGATTTGAATGGGATTTTAATGGGATTTTAATGGGATTTGATGGGATTTTAATGGGATTTTATGGGATTTTAATGGGATTTGATTGGGATTTGATTGGGATTTTAATGGGATTTGATGGGATTTGATTGGGATTTATGGGGATTTGATGGGATTTGATGGGATTTTAATGGGATTTGATGGGATTTGATGGGATTTGATGGGATTTTAATGGGATTTGATGGGATTTGATGGGATTTTAATGGGATTTGATGGGATTTTAATGGGATTTTAATGGGATTTTGATGGGATTTTAATGGGATTTGATTGGGATTTTAATGGGATTTGAATGGGATTTTAATGGGATTTGATTGGGATTTGATTGGGATTTGATTGGGATTTTAATGGGATTTGATGGGATTTTAATGGGATTTTAATGGGATTTGATGGGATTTGATTGGGATTTTAATGGGATTTTAATGGGATTTTAATGGGATTTGATGGGATTTTAATGGGATTTGATGGGATTTGATTGGGATTTATGGGGATTTTAATGGGATTTGATGGGATTTTAATGGGATTTTAATGGGATTTGATGGGATTTTAATGGGATTTGATGGGATTTGATTGGGATTTATGGGGATTTTATGGGATTTGATGGGATTTTAATGGGATTTGATGGGATTTTAATGGGATTTTAATGGGATTTGATTGGGATTTTAATGGGATTTTAATGGGATTTTGATGGGATTTTAATGGGATTTGATGGGATTTTAATGGGATTTGATTGGGATTTGATTGGGATTTTAATGGGATTTTAATGGGATTTGATGGGATTTTGATGGAATTTGATTGGGATTTGATTGGGATTTTAATGTGATTTGATGGGATTTTAATGGGATTTTAATGGGATTTTAATGGGATTTTAATGGGATTTGATTGGGATTTGATGGGATTTTAATGGGATTTGATTGGGATTTTAATGGGATTTTAATGGGATTTTAATGGGATTTTATGGGATTTGATGGGATTTTAATGGGATTTGATGGGGATTTGATGGGATTTTAATGGGATTTGATGGGATTTTAATGGGATTTGATGGGATTTTAATGGGATTTTATGGGATTTGATGGGATTTTAATGGGATTTTATGGAATTTTAATGGGATTTGATGGGAGTTTAATGGGATTTGATGGGGATTTGTTTGGGATTTTAATGGGATTTGATTGGGATTTAATTGGGATTTTAATGGGATTTGATGGGATTTGATGGGATTTTAATGGGATTTGATGGGATTTTAATGGAATTTTAATGGGATTTGATGGAATTCGATTGGGATGTTGTGAATTTCATGGGATTTTAATGGGATTTGATGGAATTTTAATGGGATTTGATGGGATTTTGATGGGATTTGATGGGATTTTAATGGGATTTTATGGAATTTTGATGGGATTTTAATGGGATTTAATGGGATTTTAATGGGATTTCATGGACTTGGATGGGATTTTAACGGGACTGGGTGGCACAAAGACAATTCCAGGGAATTCCCAGAGCATTCCCCAACCTGCAGATCCCGGGCTGATCCCGTTTTTCCCGATTTTTCCCCCTCAGGAGAATCCGGGAAGCCTCTCCCTACGGCCACCTCCCCTCCTGGCGCCTCCTCTCCGTCATCGTCAAATGCGGCGACGACCTCCGGCAGGAGCTGCTGGCGTTCCAGGTGCTCAAACAGCTCCAGGTGAGGAGATGCCCAAGGAATTCCCAACGGAATTCCCCATCCCTGAGAGATTCCCGTCATTCCCGAAAAAATTCCCGGATTTTTATGGATTTTTAGGGATTTTTTTAGGGCGTTCCTGGTGCTCAAACAGCTCCAGGTGAGGAGATTCCCAAGGAAAATTCCTGGGAAGTTCCTGGAACATTCCCAGAAAAACTCTAATCCTTGTGGAATTCCTGAAAAAAAATCATTTTAAAGGGATTGTTTTTTATTTGCTGGGATTGTTTTGTTATTTGATGGGATTTTGATTGGATTTGATGGGATTTTGATTGGGTTTGATGGGATTTTGATTGGATTTGATGGGGTTTTGATTGGGTTTGATGGGATTTTGATTGGATTTGATGGGATTTTGATTGGGTTTGATGGGATTTTGATTGGATTTGATGGGATTTTGATTGGGTTTGATGGGATTTTGA